TCCTTGGGACGGCACGGCTGGAGAGGCCTGAAGAGTATGAAGAAACAGAAGCACGGCTTCCCCCCACCCGGCTTCGTCTGATTTTACCTCACTGTCGGCCTTTGCCGTCTTGGCCGCGCGTTGTTGGGCCCTAACTCTTCCCCGATCTCCCCCCCTACCCCTCCCCTAATTCGCCACCTCTGTCACGGAACTCAGCATGACAATGCCAACATGCAGCTATCTCACCCTTGACTCTGCACTCAGTCTCCGCACTTGCTTGCTGACAGCTGGCGTTGAATACAAACCCCTATCGGGGTCTCTGCCGTGCCCTCTAGCCAGGAGCAGCCGAGGCGGGCGGCGTAGCGTTAAAATTACAACGTTGGACAGGAAGAACGAACCAGCGACCGTTTTGAAACGGATGAGCTGTCAGGATTGCAGGGCGTTCTTGAAGCAGACAACTTCACACGCCTGCACTTTTCGGTAGTCTCGATAGGCGCAAGGCGCAACATAGACACAACCTTTCGTCACCGAGCCTACAATTGGACCGGCAGAGCATACCCACAGTGGCATTTGGCCACTCTGCCGGCAACCAAAACACAGCACACAAATCGACCCGTCGTAAGCGTCAAGGGCGATTAAGCCAAGCTGCAAGCTCACGTCTCGGGTCAGCTCGCCTGTGTCCAACTGCTTCAGGACGAGCGGTGATGTGAAACACCCCTGCGAGGCTTCCAGAATGTACGTTGGTGCGGGCTAAAACACAGCCCAAGCTTGCCTTGCGGATGTTCCACTGCTTGTCCCGACCGCCGAAGTGAACTACCCCGACGCCGAGCGCCATTTCGATGTAGGTTGCGCCCGGCACGACAATCTCTCCAAAAATGATGTGGTGGCCTTGTGCAGGCTGCGGCAGGGCACTGCCCATTGCACGGCTGCACCACATAATATAGTTTGTTGCTCACAGGAATGAACGTGAATGCGGTCCTAGCGTGTCTAAGGCCCCGGCTAACAAGCTCCAGCAGTTTGCCCGAAAAGGGTCGTAAGAAGACCTGGAGTCCCTCAGCTGTGCGCATCGTCTTTGTGAGCAGCGCATGGCGCTGAGCCTGCCATGCGAAGGACTGGCGCTTAAAAATAGGAGCTTCCACCAGCACAGAAGGTCTTTCTGCACTGTCTTCCAGCACCACATGTGCATTCGTGCCGCCGAAGCCAAAGGAAGAGAGGCCGGAGGACACATGGCTTGCCACAGTGGCCAATTCAGAAAGCTCCACTGGAATAACGGTTGGGAAATCCTCCAGGTCGCAGTGAGGATTCAGGCTCTGGAAGTGAAGATTCGGCGCCGCCATCCGAAGGGGCAGCGCAGATATGATCTTCATCAATCCTGCCAGTCCCGCAGCTGCCTCCAAGTGGCCTCAGCATCGCGAGAACATGCGGAAGAAAGAACAGGTACAGGCACAGTGCGAGCCCTACATCTACACAGCATCTACAACGAGGGGCCAATATTCGTCTTCACTGCGCAAAGGGTCAGCTCAACATCATGTGCACGGCCTTCACGAAGGGTATTTCGAAAGGCTCCCACCTCGATAGGATCTCCCAAGGCTGTCCCGGTCCCATGCGTCTCGACGGCCGAAACAGAGCTGGGCTCCAGCTCTGCCTCAGACAGAGCCGTCCTCATGACTGCCTCCTGGGACGGTCCGTGTGGT